TTTTTTTTTTTTTTTTTTTTTTTTTTTTTTTTTTGGGGTGGGGGGATAAATTTCATTTAAAATTAATTTAGAGAAAAATATTATTTAATTTTTGCCCTTACTTTCATGTTTAAAGTTTAGTTTAGAGAGGATTTTACATTTTTATTATTGAATTTATACTTACTTTTGATCCTGATGTTAATTTTCCATTAATTGATTTAAATATTATGATGTATAATTTTTGAATCAATTTTAATAGTGATTAAATGCAACCTTTTGAAATCTGTATATTAAGAAATTGAACACGGAATTCAAAAATAAGTGTCATATTTTGAAATCTAAAACTAAGTGGGGTAAGAAATTGAACACGAAGATCTACGCCCTTTGTTCGATACTTTAATCACTTGTTGATTATGCCTTCGAAGCTCACAATACTTTATTCAAGATTCTATTATCATGATTAAGTTTAGAGCATGACTTTGATGTTATGTTAGATGAACATAGACTTTCCAAAATGATAAGTATAAGTTCTCATGACTTTGTTTTAAGTTTTTTCACGGGACCACATAGCAATTGAGATAGTATTTATACGAGACTACAAATACTTTTTTGAAATGTAAATTAATGGAGTCCAACAATTATGAAAAGCAATATAAAATATTTGATTGATTGATTGATTTACACTCCAACACCATTATGATCCATCAATTGCATTAAATGAGTGTGATGTACCAAAGTTTGTATTTAATTATTAGGAGTGCTCATGTGAGGACAAACTTTACATATTGGTGCCAATTTCTAACTATTTCTCACATTTATATTATTTTAAAATATGATCACCATTTTTTTAAAAAAATTAATATAGTCAATACCATTCTTTCTCCTTCTTCTCTTTTAGTTTTATTTTAATAATGACACACTTTGTCTTATTTTTTTTTAAATAAAAAAAAAATCTTAAGAATGTGACATTTTAGATATTTTATTACAAAGTATGTCAATAAAGATACGACATATTGAAATGAGTTGTGTTGATTTATAGAAATAGTATTCGCAGGTAAACAACTATGTTGCAGTGGATGCATTAGAATGTCGGACCATCAAATATGAGACATTAAAAAACGTGAACCATGATTTACACAAGTGAACGACAACATTTTTATTTGTATTAAATGTTTTGGTTCCAAGCCATAAAGATTAAACTAATTACAAAATAAATGAAAATGAGTGTTTTTTTATTTCAACATTTATCACAAAGATATAATTAAATATTTTTTTTAAATACTCATAACCAAATCAAAATTAAGACTCTAAGAACGACTCTAGATTTCCATTTGATTTTTGAATTTTGAAATTTGTTAAAAAATATATCCTCAAAAAAATTATTTTCGAACTTTGATGAACAACTAATATGTAAAAAATGATATTATATATGTGTCACGACTAATTGAAGGATAAATTTTTTTTATTAGATTTGAATGAGAGTTTTTTTTTTTTCCACAATTTTGAAATTAAAAATTATTGTGTGAAACATGTCCGTTGGAGGAGATAAATAAACATTCCTTGTAAAAGTGTGTAAATATTTCCCTAATAGACGTTTTATAACTGTGAGTCTGACTACGATATGGAACGTGTCAAAGCGAACAATATCTATTAACAGTGGGCTTATACTATTATAAATGGTATCAGAGTCACACAGGGTAGTGTGCCGGCGAGGTAGCTAGACATCCAAGGGATAGATTGTGGATGTAAGGCCTCAAAGGTAGTGTATCTGAGATCTCACGTTATTCTTATAAAGGTACGAAAACTTCTCTTTACCCATTTTAAAACGGGCTCTAACGATTCCTACTTTAAAAAAAGAAAAAAAAAATTAAAACTTTAACATTTTAAAAATTAAGAGTTAATTTGTATAATAAAAAAGAAAGAAAAAAGAAAAAAAAAAGAAAAAAGAAAAAGGGAATTAGAGAAACGTGTAGCAATTTGGGGAAGGCGGGTTCTCCCTCCCAAATAAAGGTCGCTAATGGATATCCCCAAATCCCAACCTTAACCCTCCAAAATTGAAGCTTGGTCGTCTCTCCGATCGAAGTTTCAACTCTCAATCTACGCTCTCCGTTTGATTCGCCATGAACACCTTCAGAGTTTTCTTCCTCGCCATTCTTCTTCTTGCCTCTCCATTTCTCCGAGGTTCGCTCTTTTGTTCAATCTTAGATCTACACGTTTCTCCATCGCTTGGGTCTTGCGGATTCTTCTTTTGGAATTGCCTTGCATGGTTTTCGATCGGGATTTTCTGGTCTAATGCGGTCTAGGTCTTTGACTTTTTCTTGGTTTGATTGTTTCTCTTGTGGGTTCCGATCAGATTATTAATTTTATATTGGATCGCGTCTTTCCTATTAGTATTTTGTTCTTCTTTCTCTGGCTTTGATGGTGAAATGATAATTCGTTTAAGAAGTACTGTTACAATGCTGGGAATCATTATCAAGTTGTTTATCTGTTGCCATTACTGAAATCACAGCCCCCTCCTATCTTCCGAGAATTATAAATTGATTGTCCATCGCCATTTTTGAAGTCGTAATCTCCAGCGAATTTGTTTTTCCATTGAATTTACTAGTAAATTGGGGAGGGATAAAAAACCTGCGGTCACTTGTTCATTCTATCTAGAGGACCAAAGCATGCAATTTGTCTTTCATTGAATGCATTGAATTTCATTGTTCTAGTGGATCATTTTACTCTGTTGTTTATTTGCTTAACAGTTGCCACTTGTCAATCGGACTCCGAGGGCGAACCATCCCTGGTTGTTGAAGAAGCTAGTGATCTGGGAGTTGTGGGTGAAGAAGATTCTCAGGATTTTGGAGATGTGATCTTCGGTTCAGCTCCAGGAGTTAATACTGTCTGCGTTTTTCCAAAAAATAGTGCACGCAGTAAGTGTTCAACTAGATTCAGGATTTGGTAACATTTTTTTATTTCTTTGATAGGAGTGTCATACTTTTATGATATCTATAATTTACATTGAAGTTCATGCCTTCCATTGCAGTAGTGCAAGCTGGTGCAGAGACCGAACTACTCGCAGGAGTGAAAAATGATGGTAACTAACTTTAACCTGCTAAACCTTTGGGCCCTTACATCTCCTATAAACAATCACAGGCATCTTTGAATTCAAAGATGGCTTCTTCTGATTGGTATTGTTGCACCTGTTGGGCAGTCTTTTTCTATTAATCAGTAATTCATTTTATTGCTGTTAAATGTTTTATTATTATTTATGTCTGTTCTCTGTTGGAAACGTGAGTTTTCATCTGAATTTATGTTCCTGACTGTATTACATTCACTTCTTTTGATTGAGTTTTGTTAAACGTGTCAGTCACGCTTGATGTAATAGGAAAGCTACTAAGGCCAGCATTGATTAAACCTTTTATTGCTTTTCAATGATGCAAAATCTTATAGGTCAATAATTTCCTCGACTGTTATTTGTTAATCCAGGGGAATCAAGCTTGAATATTATAGCTATTAAGGCCAGCGTTCACTACACTTTTGATCATCGTGTGTTGATTCAAAATCTTACTGGACAGGTAATCCCAGCCTGACATATGATTATTAAATAGAGTTGCTGTATGATCTCAAATTGTTTTCTTTTTCTTTTTCCTCCAATATTTAATGAATACAAGCATAGACTGCATGGTACAAATATTTGATTTGTCTATGTTTCAATCTCAATCAGTTGAATGTGAATTTTGGAGAGGATACTGTTTGTGTTGGGCAGGTTGAGTTTCACTCACTAATATGTTTATGAAATACGTTATGCCTTTTAATTTGAAAGTTACGAGTTCCGATTCTTACTCCTTGAAGAAGGCATCTTGATTGGCTAGAATTCCTTTAGTTTGGCCCTTTGTAGTTTGGACATCATTAATTTAGTTGAACGGAAGGAATATTATCTTTTCTTCTCTGTATGTTTAGTCATTTATCTTTGTTCTTCTTTTTCTAATAAGTCAATTTCTTCTTTTTCAAATCTTGTCTCGTGTTTTCTTCTTCTTTTTGAGACTGTTTTTGGCCATTGCAAACTTTCTACAGAAAAATGTTCCTATTACTATTTCTGCAATTTATTTTGCATCTCAATGTCAATTGTTATCATGCTATTATTGGTTTGATTCATGTCTGTTGATTGACTATTCTAAGTCAAGATAATATTACATAATTTAAAAATGAAGTTCAACATTCTCTCTCTCTCTCTATATATATATACATATATTTTTAATTTGGTATTTTGAGTACAAGCTTTTTTTTTTTTTTTTTTTTTTTTTTTTTTTTTTTTTTTTTTTTTTTTTTTTNTTTTTTTTTTTTTCTCACTATGAAACCCCTTTATGAACTTCCAGTAATATTTGTGCTTTTATTAACCCAGCTTTTCTTTACAGTAACTTCAGTTTGGTATTTTTAACTTATATGATCTTCCTTGTTGTACTTGTAGGTTTTCCACAATGCAACGGTGCCCCCATCCACCCAAGCTTCTTACCCATATGCATTTGCTGTCAGCAAGTTTTTGCAGGTTCATTCATAATCATTATTATAGCAGTTCCTCGTCCCCATGATATGAACTTTCAGTTTATAAAATTACTATCTGCTTATCCTCATCAGTTTTGAAGTTCTATTAATTGAGGAAATGAAAACACCTTAATATATTCCTGATGTGCAGCCTGGAAACTTTGATCTAGTGGGCACCATATATTATGAGATAGACCAGAATGCATACCAAAGCATCTTCTATAACGGTACTATTGAAGTCATTGAAGCTAGTGGTTTCATCAGCATCGAGACTGTGTTTTTAGTCACTCTTGGAATTGCACTTCTCGTTATGCTTGGCTTATGGATTCATGGTCTAGTACAGCAAAAGCTGTCCAAGGTATAGATCTTCCTGGTCTTCATTTGATGATGACCTTGTTTTCCAATAGTGGATGTTGCCTTATTTATATTCTTTTACCTCTTATTAGCTGCTGGTACATAATGTTGGACTATTGTCCCGACATTGAGCATATTTTTTAACAAATATGTTACTTGAAATATATCTGAACTGGTCTTTTACAAGTATTTACCCGTAGCATTTCTTTTATTATTAACCATGGTCCCGGTCTTCATACTTAAAAACTTCTCACCTTAATATTTGGAGTATGAGAAAGGTGGAGCTGCAAGATTTAATCTTTATCTAATTTAAACATTTTCTAGATATATGAATGATTTTGGCATAAAATTCTATGCAATTCCTTCTATGTGTCAGAAACCCAAGAGGGCTGCTTCCAAGGTTGAAGTGGGAACAAAAACCGTTGATTCCTCGATGGATGAATGGCTTCAGGTTTGTATTTGTTCATGGAATTCATGTATATCTAAAGAAATCTGGAAACTGCTGCTGATATATTTTATAATCTTATCTCCTCTGATCCTTAGGGAACTGCATACACCCAGTCCGCATCAAGCAAGTTAAAGAAGAAGAATTAACGAGGACTCATCTCCATTCCAGTTTGCATAGGACACTGACAATGTGCAGATTCCAGTAACTCACGTTAGGCAGTTGAAGATTTGAGGAGAGAGTCAAAGTTGACTAGTTTTTATAAGTTAGGTGCGTTAAACAACCCTTCCTTGCCAGTGTAGCATGTCAGGGAATTGTTTCTTAATGTCGATCTAAATTAAGTCCGCAATGATACAGTTTTCTGAATCTAGAGAATTTTCCTTGGAGCATATATTATCAAAGTTGAAACTTTCTTAACTTTCCTTGGAACCCCTTTTCTGTATTAGTCACAATCCTTGCCTTGTTGGATCATTGATGTCGTGGCCCGTGGGCTGTGCAGGTTACCAATTCTCTTTGAAATCATTTACCTCTACATCATGGGAAAGTTTCTGCTCCTTTCACATCTCGATGTCGAATGGCTTCCTATAAAACTGTTAATTTGCTTGATATCAGTTTTTCCCTCATTAAATTGCCCCATGTGAGGTCTTGGCTAGTAGCTTTCATGCTTGCATATGATTTTATGAGGAGACAAATGGAGACTTGATTTAATTGCTTAAGAGTTGGGTAAAGACTCTTAAATTAGCCAGCAAGATGGTAGTCAATGAGATTGGGTCTCCCATTTGTCTATCTGGATTTTCTTGTTTTTTATTTTTTAGTTTTCAAGGACGATATTATCTGGCCTATTTATATGGAACTTGTCGATGCCCTTCGGTTCGATTATATTCATAAAATATCATCAACTGCAAATGCTACCTTATCATAACCTCCAACTGTAATGTTGTAGGCTCTCCATTAATGCCTTTCTTTTGGGTTGTAAAAAGATGAGGAGAAGGATAAACCATCCTGACTTGGTCTGATGGTAAGAACATAGAGCCAATCTGTTATTTTATTGTCTTTGATGTAGCAGATTCAAATTGTGATGACCACTCATCTTAGATGTCGGGTGACATCGATTACTGAAGAAAATGTTTAGGAGGATTTGTATGCCATGATTTTTGACTTACATGACCAGGAAGAACTGTTTGTGGATTTTAGACGATCTTACCATAGCATTCGTCTTTGTACTATACATATGCATGAACATCCCTAGCTAAATTTTATACCCCAAAACTTTCGATCATGCTCGAGTTTTTCGTTTTCCTTAGTACATGTGATAATAGTACCTTTTGTGGATCTCTCCTCTTCTTATTAGAAGAGAGAACTCTGATCATACGATTCTCTTTACAAATCTTTTGAGAAGTGCAATTGTGAGGAAGTAATTCTTGGAACTTGTCTGTCTCCTCTACTCACTCCTTTAAATTTCTAGAAACTCTCAAAAATATTATTTCTCTTGTCGGTATCGACCATTAGAAGTACCGAGCGATTATTAAATCGTTTCTTGTGATTCATCCCTTTTATACTATTACAAGTCTATTCTTGAACCTAACTCACTTATTACACAAGGCCTTAGGTTCACATGTTACCAACTTTACACCTTGTAAGGATAGAAATGCCTCTTGAGTGCACTTGTTTGCATCATACAAATCATTGATTTTCCTTTCGACGATGTCTACCCCTAGCCACCCGTGAACAAACTTTGAATATAATCATAGAAATGAGTACTACAAACACAATCTCGTTCGACCCAAAATTGGCCATACTCAACTACAAATCTCTAGAACAGACAAGGACTTAACATAGAGTAGATATCATTTACCTGGTTTAAATTATCCATGATAGGTTTGTATCCTCCCCTCTGCTCGGGCCTCTAACGAAAACATCTAGTATAGGAAAGTAAAAATATTCCGAAAGAGAAAAAACAGGAAAATTAAATGCATACCAACATTTGAAGAACTTAAAAAGATTAATCTCAATTATGAGCATTATTTTTTTGGTAGATGAGTAAGTAGCAGAGTAGCTGAAGTTATTGAATGCCATGCCAATGCGCCAATCAGCAAACTAAATCACCAAAAAGTTTGGACCCCAATATCATAACTCTACCGTCGGTGCTTACCTTCTGATCTTCTCCTTCAAATTCCTATAAAAATGATCCATTTGGGTTCACTGTCTTGCACTTTCAGTTCCCTCTTCATTCCTCCATGCAGACCCCTTCTGTCTGTTTCTTTTTCTGGTTCTTCTTCCTTTTTGCTATAACTTTCTGCCATGGCAGCGACTTGACAACCGTTGAGGTTGTCGGGGTCGGAGAATGTGCAGACTGCCACAAGAACAACATTAAAACCACTCATGCCTTCACAGGTTTAGTTTCTCATCTCATTTACTCATTCATTTAAGTTTGATTCTTTTTAAATGTTATGAACTTGAATGAATAATCCAATGCAGGGCTTCGTGTCAGCATCGACTGCAAGCTGAAGGATGGAAGCTTTGAAAGAAAAGGGTTTGCAGAGCTTAATGAAGAAGGGAAGTTCAAAGTGTTGCTTCCAACGGAGGCTTTGAAAGATGGAAAGTTGAAGGGTAAGTGCTTTGCTCTGCTTCATAGTGCTTCTTCTACTCCTTGTTCATCTCCTGATGGCTTGGAATCCTCCATGATTGTGTTGAAATCCAATGGTAATGGAAAACATACATTTGGTCTGCCTGGTGCGCTTAAGTTTGAAAGTGGAACTTGTGTTTCTGCCTTCTTTTGGCATTATCATCATCCTCCTTTGCCTCCTATTGTCTTCCCTCCTCATCCTCCATTGTTTGGTCATCCATATTTCCCTCCTTACCATCACAAATTCTTCCCTCCACCCACCCCGGAAGAGCCACCCGTCCCCGAAAAGCCTCCACCGGTTTATGAGCCTCCCCCAGTTCCTGAAAACCCTCCACCGGTCAATGAGAAGCCTCCTCCAGTCTACGAAAAGCCTCCTCCGGTCTACGAAAAGCCTCCTCCGGTCTACGAAAAGCCTCCTCCGGTCTATGAAAAGCCACCACCGGTCTACAAGCCAAAACCGAAAAAGCCAAAAAAGCCGAAAAAGCCGAAAAAGCCGAAACCACCAGTCTACGAGCCAAAACCTCCAGTCAACGAGCCAAAACCACCAAAACCACCAGTCTACGAGCCAAAACCTCCAGTCAACGAGCCAAAACCACCAAAACCACCAAAGCCACCAGTCAATGAGCCAAAACCACCAAAACCACCTGTTTACGTGCCAAAACCACCCGTTTACGTGCCAAAACCACCCGTTTACGTGCCAAAACCACCCGTTTACGTGCCAAAACCACCCGTTTACGTGCCAAAACCACCCGTTTACATGCCAAAACCACCAGCACCAGTCTACAAGCATCCATTTTACAAGATTCTTCCTCCAATTTCAAAGCTTCCTCCATGTCCACCAGTTCCTAAGGTCATCCCTGTTATCCCTCCAAAGTACTTATCCCACCCCAAGTTTGGCAAGAAGTTTCCTCCTCTTCATCCTCCTGTTCCACACCCTTAGGACAAATATATCTGCAAGAATTAGTTCAGGAGTGCTATATATAAGTTCATATATATGTTTGAATTGGCTGCCATTTGTTAGTAGTAAGGAAGCTGCTTGGTGTCATATTTTATATATTAGCTTCAACCTTTGTTGTTGATGTAATAAAGTCTTCACGTGGATATCACAAGAAGAAACAAATTTATAGGGAAAGAGAGAGTATATTGTGGAGTTTGTGTTTATAGTTTGTTTTGTGTTGTAAAAGTGACATGAAATTGGTTGGTTGTGGACATTGATCCATGTATTCAATATAAAGCTACGAGAACCCGACCTTTCTATATAGCACACGTTAACTATCTTCGTTCCGTGGGAGTCTAAAAATAATCTCCGAGAACCCGACCTTTTTCATCCACATATGTGTGTATATATTTTTTAATTTCAAATATTAACCTCACAATACTTGAAAAAAAAAGTGTATCTTATTTTCACACCCTATGTTTTTTTAAATATTTTTTTATATATAAAATTTGTAAAAAGCATTATTCCTCCTTATTTATTGCTTTTAAAAATAGAAAGAAAATAAAAAAATAAAATAAAAATCCCTTCTTTTATGGATACCAAATGATGTCTCTAAAAAGAAAAAGTTATGGTCTAGAGTCATTGTAGCAATCTTTTTTTTTTTTTTTTTTTTTTTTTTAAGATAAATATATATATATATATATATATATATTCCCTTTAAGGTGGGCCCACCAATATTCCAATTTCATTTTTCAGAATATTAGTTTGTTTATAATATTTTTGAGAAAATAAATGAATTTAAGTTTTTTATAAATTTCTCTAAAATTAGTGGTGTTAAACCAAACTATATTAAATTTATTAATAGTTTGAATAATATATATATATATATATTCTATTCATTTAATTATTAATTTTTTATTATTTATTATGTCCCGCTCTTAAAAAATAAAATTTTAAGTTTTTGAAATATAATTTTTTAAATTATATATTGAAATTCAGCTACAAATCATAATTAAATATTTAAAGTTTATTTGTTTCCATTTATATCCCATATTTATAAAATTTATTAATTAAATAATCATATGGTTCCATTCCATTCAAAATTATTAGAAATAAATAAAATTCTAAATACAATTAAGCTCGTTGTTTTTTCTTCGCGTTTTCGACACGTCGTTTAGTAACAAAAGGTGGCCGTTCTCCGAAAGACCGCTTCCGTTTCCATTCCGCTAAACGACACATCGTAAATAATCAATTGTTTTTTCTTTTGAAGAAAAAAACAAACGGAACGGAAAAGTATACGGATTCTTAATCATGACAGCGAAACTAACCCTGGGTTTCTTAACCTAACCACGGTTATTTAAATATCACTGAAATTGCGCCACGTGTTTTAATCCAACGGTTGATATTGAGTTTACATGGATACACTCGAACCTTGACTGTTATAAATACCTCTTGCCCCACTAACCCTAAAATCAAATCGGTTTTCTTCTACTTCTGAGATATTTCTAACTCTCTGAAAAGAAAATGCCTAACCCTAAAGTCTTCTTCGACATGACCATCGGCGGCCAACCGGCTGGCCGGATCGTGATGGAGCTGTATGCCGATGTCACTCCTCGTACCGCCGAGAACTTCCGTGCACTGTGCACCGGCGAGAAGGGAGTCGACCGGAGTGGTCATACCCTTCATTACAAGGGCTCGTCGTTCCACCGTGTGATCCCTAATTTCATGTGTCAGGGAGGCGATTTTACAAATGGAAATGGTACCGGGGGTCTGTCGATCTACGGTTCCAAGTTTGCCGACGAGAACTTCATCAAGAAGCACACCGGACCTGGTGTTTTGTCCATGGCGAATGCTGGACCTGGAACTAACGGATCTCAGTTCTTCATTTGTACCGCTAAGACCGAGTGGCTTGATGGAAAGCACGTGGTGTTCGGTCAAATCGTTGATGGAATGGACGTGGTAAAGGCCATTGAGAAGGTCGGATCGAGCTCTGGAAGGACCTCGAAACCGGTTGTCATTGCCGACTGTGGCCAGCTCTCTTAGATCTGTCGCTGCTCCGGCGAAATCGTATCTATGATCATTTTCTACTTGCGTGTGTTGTTTTTTAACTTACTGCGAATATGGTTCTGTCTGCGTCTCTTTTTAGGTTATGGGTCGTGGGTTTACGCTGCTTCTTTAGTTATGTGTAACTGCCGTTTTTACCTTTCTGTTTGATGGCGGTTTCGCGGTGGTTCCTAGACATAATTGGTTGTTCGAACCGAGGACCTTCAATAATATGATATGGCAGTGTCTTTCAACTTTCTCTCATCTTTCTTTTTTGCAGTTCTTGCATAATCAAATGAATCATAACCCATTTTTTCCGCCGGGAATGCTGGATGATTATAGATTCTAATGGATTGTGGTACTCTATATATATGATCTTCTGTTCTGATTGCGTGGAATTCATATTGGATTTGGATTAGAATGTGTATTGATACTCGAAAGTCTCATGAATCCTTGAATTTGGTATCAATTTTGTTGTTCTGATTGCTGGAAATGGATATAGATTAGATTTGTTTTGTTGATGGATGCTAGATTTTTCTTAGTTGGTTTGATTTGATGAGTCAAGTCAATGAAAATATAAGTGTTTAGTGAGATTTCGTTGCTTTGAATTGATTATTATGATGGTAGCTTTTGAAAGAGCATGGTCTACGAGAAAAAGTTTGTCTGCATTAGATTTAATATGCCATGGAAAAGTTGAAAAGCTTGTCTGGTGGTGGGGAGAATATTATATGGTTTATGCCCTTTAGCTTCCTGTGGAGTTGTTAGAAAGAGACTGAGATCCTCATATTGGGGATTGCAGTCTCCTGAATTTAGCAGGACCATCAGGTTTTTAATCTTTGTAACGTTTACGTGATCTGGTGGTAGTCGAGTCTTGAATCGTGCGTGCTCTCGTGGTAGTCGAGTCTTGAATCGTGCGTGCTCTCGTGGTAGTCGAGTCTTGAATCGTGTGTGCTCTCGTGGTAGTCGAGTCTTGAATCGTGCGTGCTCTCGTGGTAGTCGAGTCTTGAATCGTGCGTGCTCTCGTGGTAGTCGAGTCTTGAATCGTGCGTGCTCTCGTGGTAGTAGAGTCTTGAAGCGTGCGTGCTCTCGTGGTAGTAGAGTCTTGAAGCGTGCGTGCTCTCGTGGTAGTAGAGTCTTGAAGCGTGTGTGCTCTCGTGGTAGTAGAGTCTTGAAGCGTGTGTGCTCTCGTGGTAGTCGAGTCTTGAAGCGTGCGTGCTCTCGTGGTAGTCGAGTCTTGAAGCGTGCGTGCTCTCGTGGTAGTCGAGTCTTGAAGCGTGCGTGCTCTTGTGGTAGTGAAGTCTTGAAGCGTGCATGCTCTCGTGGTAGTCGAGCCTCGAACGAATCGTGCTCTCGTGGTAGCCGAGCCTCGAACGAATCGTGCTCGTCTCGAACGAATAGTTCAATGCTCTTTGGATAATGTAATTACAATGATAAAAAATATATTTATTTTTAATATTATATTTAAAAGAATACATATGGAATTTTAAAATTTTGAAAGTTTCAAATTGTGGTTTAGGCTAATTTTAGCAAAGATATTCTTGAATTTTATTTTTTTAAAAAATAAAATATTATAAAAAAGATTATAAAGTTGAAGCATATTCTTATTAATTTATCTAAAAATAAAAAATAGTAATTGGGCATATTCTTATATAATCATTATTGAATAATCTTAGGGAAATCATTACTATTTTGGGAACCAAAAAAAAGAATTATTATTAAAGAAAATATTCCCAATTCACACATCATAGTCTTTCCCTCTTTGAATAATCATTTACAATATATAATTTGTTCTTTTTATTAAAAAAAATTAAATTAAATGTTCTCAATTTGATTTTTTTATTTACAATATTAAAATCAATTATCGAGAAAATTACTCAAATTCAATATAGTAAAAGCAACTTCTATTTCTTATTTTATATAAATAACTGTTTCATTAATTCCCCTTCAGTTTTTTTTTTAAAAAATTTAAAATAATTTTATAAATAAAATACCTATAAAAATTTTAAAATAAGATTAACACAATTTACTTTATCAACATAATAATAATAATAATAATAAATAATAATAATAATGTTATTATTAATATATGGATGAGTCTACTCTATTAATGTTTTTTTAAAGTTCAAAAGTATTTTTGAAACTTTTAATTGAAGTAATTAAGATAAAACATGCCAAATGTAATTGTGTACCGTTGGAATAGTTGAAAAAAATGAGATAATTTTATATGGACTCGTTAAGAATAATTTTGATTTAATTCTTGGTCTATTAGACGTAGAAGGGTTTGTTGGGATTGGGATCGAACAGAAAAAGATCCCCTAGTCTATTTTTGCTTAAAAAAAAAAGGAAAAAAAAAACTCTGCCGACATCATGGTATCAATTAGTCAACAGAGATTTTATTATTTTATTAATGCATTTTTTAAAAAAGCAAGGAAAGATATTTTATTTATTTTATAAATGAGATTAAAATGTATCCACTAGGAAGTGGACACGTATTGCCAATTTTATGTGAAAGAGAGAAAAATAAATAAAAACCAGACAGCCTTTGACCCGTTATTAGAAATAATGGGAAAAAGAAGAAAATTTCCGGCAACACGACGAAGGCGGTACTTTGCATCGACAAGTTTCTCAGATTCCTCGATCTCTTTTCTCGTCGGGATTATTTTCTTCTGACGATTGCATTGCATTGCACTTGTTCTTCCATTTCTTAGAATTCGTGATCTTATTTTGGCGGGAATTTGGTAACGCTGGCCCTCATGATTCCTAATTTCCATAGGGGAATACCAGATTTATGATTGGTGCTGTTTTTGTTTTCTACTGCGCCTTGTTTGAATTTTGGATTGCGACCCGATTTGAGCGGGAATTTGGGGCGAACTTTTGATTAATCTCAGAGAGAAATCCAATTGGCTGTGTTTGCGACCGACTTTTGTTTTATTTTTTTATTTTGGAGAGAACAGAGACGGAGAAATGTCGATTTCGGAGAATACGAAGGGTCTGATTCTGGCTATGGCGTCGAGTGCGTTTATTGGATCGAGTTTTATCTTGAAGAAGAAAGGACTTAAGCGTGCCGGAGCCACAGGGGCGAGAGCAGGTCAGTGATTATGGTTCATGAATGAATTGTTGATTTGTTGCTTTTGGTTTTGAGTATTCCTCCTTGTTCATTGTTCTACCGATTCTGGAATGCTTGATTTCTGGGTCGTGTAATGTGTTTATTTGTTGTTTGGATGCAACTGATCCATTTTGAATCTGTTCTTTCTGTATTTTGCTTTATGTTCTGTTT